TTAGTTGCAGCCACTAAGGGAATTGAAACTGGCATAGCTTTCAACCTGTTCGCCCTCTCTAATAGCTCACTGACAAACTTTCGATGACAAAGCGCAATTCCCTTCGTACTTCGCTTAACTTCGATGCCCAAAAATATGCATGGTCACCTAAATCTTTCAGAAAGAACTTTGCACTAAGTTGTTGAACCACTACTTCCACCTCAGCACTGGACTGCCCAGTGATGATTATATCATCAATGTAGACGAGCATATGCGTGTAACACCCATATCATCTTCTCACAAAGAGCGACACTTATGCACGTGACTCTAGAAACCCGAACTGTAGCAAGCACCCTGAAGCTTTGTATGCCAATTTCTGGGAGCCTGACGTAACCCGTAAGAGCTTTTTTTTTAGTTTACAAACAAACTTGGACCCATCAGGAGCAACCTGTTTGAACCCAAGAGGTTGTTGCATAAACACATCTTCGTGTAAATCACAATTTAAGAACTCGTTGTTGACATCTACCTACCTAAGAACACAATCATTCACCACAACGAGCGAGAGAATAACATTCAAGGTGTTAACCCCAGGGCTAAAGGTATCTCTAAAATCTTGCGCCCAAGGATTTGAGTGTATTCTTTATCAACCAGGGGAGCCTTGTAATGATGAATCCACCCATTTTGGATTTAGTTTAAGCTTAAAAGGCCATTTACAGCCAACAACTTACCTTCCTTCAGGCAGCACAGTGAGCTCCCATGTATTGTTTCATTGAAGAGTATTGTATTCCTCACGCATAGCAGTTTTCCGCTTTGAAGTGTTCATCGCCTCATGCACATTGCTAGGAACTTCATAAACCAAAGAGCTAACGTAAGCTTTTGGCTTAAAGATCCCAAACTTGCTTCTTGTCATCATAGGGTGAACATTAGTATTGAGAACTGCATCATCACTCGATTCCACAGTCTGATCAGTCTGATGAGTTGAAACCATACTATCCACATGATTACCTACACTACCAAAAGCATGATTATCAGGAACATGCTCATTACTAGGAGCAGCGTCCAAACTGTCTCTTGTACCACCAGCATTAGGCACTGTGAATGAACTGCTTTCGCTCGCTTGTTGTGTCACAGGGCAGGAAGAGGAGTCATTATTTACATGGCAACCCTGAATACGACTCTTGTTAATGTCAACAACAATTTTAAGCCATTAAGACTGTTGAATGCAGTTCTTTAAACCAGTCTCACAACCAATTTTATCTGCAAAAGGAAACGAATTCTCATTATATACCATATGTCTTGAAATATAAACACGGCCATCTCTAGCCAAACATTGAAAGTCTTTGTGTTGGGTGCTGTAACCCAAAAAAGTGCACAGCTGAGATCGAAAATGTAACTTTTGTTTCTGAAACGGGTGCTAATGTGGAAAACACTTGCATCCAAACACCCTCAACTCACTGTAATCCGAAACCTTAGTAAATAACTTTTCAAATGGTGACACACCACCTAGAACTATTGTTGGTAGTCTATTAATGAGATACATTGTTGTTTGAATAGCGTATGATCAAAAACTGATAGGCATCGAAGCCTGAGCAAGGAGAACAAGGGCAAGCTCCACTAAGTGGCGATGCTTACGCTCAACGACCCCGTTCTGTTCTGACGTAAGGGGTAAGTTACACGGTGGATAATGCCAGCTTTGCTCAGCTGACTAGACAACGAGCTAAACTCCCTTTCCTTGTCCGTTTCTAATGCCTTGATCGACAAATCAAATTGTGTGCCAATCATCTTTTGAAATAGGTGAAACGCGACAACTGCCTCGGACTTACTCTTAAAAAAATACACCCAAGTAAAACGAGTAGCAGCAGCAACGAATGACACGTAATAAAGGAACTCATTTGAGGACACATGGGGAGGCCCCCACAAATCAGAAAAAACGAGCTTGAATAGTGCATAATAAACTGTACTTGAAGCATGAAAGGGTAATTTGTGACTTTTACACATGTGACAAGCAACACAATTTTTATTCAAGTCATTAGGAATTTTTACTTTGTTTAGTTTGCATATTTGGGCAAGAGTATCATGCGTAGGGTGACCAGGCCGCCCGTGCCAAACTTCACCGTCTTTTGCATCATATGAAATAGCATTAGCTTCAGTCTAGTTGCCATCAGCCTTTGATTGACCAAGCACAAAGACATACATCCCATCATTCTCTACACCTTGCAGCAAGATCTCTTTTGTAACTTCATCTCGAACAAAGCATGTTTTCGCGTGAAATTCAAGAATGACATGGTTATCTCTAACAAGCTTCGAAACGGAAAGGAGATTTTTCGTTATTGAAGGAACGTGCAAGATATCACTCAGCAATAAAGCATGAGAAGAAGCCAAGAATTAGGGTGTTCAAATTTTTGAACTAATTCGGTTAACCGACCGAACCGAATTAGTTCGGTTAATTCGGTCGGCTACCAAATTAGTTCGATCAGTTAACGGTTAATATTTTTTTAGATATTCGATTAACGATTAATTCAATTCGAAATCGATTAATTAACCAAATTAACCGAAATAACCGAATTAACCCTTAAATATTTTTTAATATTTTTTTCACCCGCATAATATGCTGCCCCCACTTAAATATTTTCTTTCCCTTAAATATTGTTTCACACGTAGGCATAGCATGGGTGGGCAGCACTGCTAGTGTAAATTATTATCATTTCTCTTGTTCTTGGTTTCAGCTTTGCTTTTATCAACTTCAATGGTAGACTGGGAGGTGGGTTCTTCTATGTCTTTGTGCTGCAACTTTTTAGTTTATGGTGCATGTCATGCACGTTTTATCGATCAAAATGTTGAAATTACTTTTTAAAGTAAAAATTTTATATGTATATAAAGCTACTGGTGAGACAAGATTAAACTTTGAGTTTTTAACATGCTTTTCTGCATAGAATAATGGGGTTTGAAGATGGCGGATGATGTATTTTGCATGTTTAATATTATAAACTGTTTTTTAATTAAAAAATATTAAATTATAAAATTATAAAAAATTTGGTTAATTCGAAAATTAACCGAATTAATCGAAATTTATTCGGTTCGATTAATATTTTCATAAAAAAGTTCAATTCGATTAACAGTTAAATAAAAAAAATTCGGTTAAGGGTATTTCGGTTCGGGTTTTAACTTAATGAACACCCCTACCAACAACTCAGTCTTGCCAATCATACTAACAGGTAAAGACACCCCACTACCTACTACTAACTGACCAGGGTTACTACAATTAGAGGGATGAGGAATATTGACAGGATCGGATGTGACATGGTGAGTAACACTCGAGTAAACTACCCATTGTTCTTGCATGGCAGTTGCAACAAGCGACTGAGGCTGAAAGGTTGACTGCCCACCGTCACGAGCTTTATCATCAGTGCCACAGCACGTGTAGCCCGTGTTGTCACTCACTACTACAGACAGAGTAATAGGCAGTTGAGGAAACGCCATTGTTAGTCCCATTATTCGAGGACATATCATCAAGAGTGATACCAGAAAAATCCTGACTGAACCGGTGCCAGCACTGGTTGACCAAGTGCCTGATCTTACCTCAAAGTTGACATTGCACACGAACTCGTCCTTTTCCTCTACCACCAAACCTACCACCTGACGAGTAACCCTGTCGAGAAGTGTTATACTGATGCTTCTTATGGGCTCTGTTGGAATCATGATTTTGTTTAATAATTAGAATTGAATTGATTCCATATTTTATTGACTAACAGAATAGCTTCCACGTCTACTAAGGTTCTTGTCAAGGCATATGAACTCGAGTAAATTGATAGTGATGGTTTGGGGTAATGGTGATCGAGGTATGGAGTGTTGACGAGAGAGATGTTGTGTTTTGTGGATTAAATTGATATAATTCTTAAGTATCATCAATTAAATTAATTGATTTATTTAGAATTAATACTAAAATGATAGATTGTGTAAATAACGAGGACTAAATATGTCATTATGCAAATTTAAAAACTGTTACACCAATAATTTAGTTACTGATTAAACGACGAGTCATTTGATTAACACTAATATAAAAGTTTAACAACCTAGTTAATAAAAAAATTGTTTAACAATAAGAATAAAATTGATCATATAATTTAACGACTAAAAAATTAATTCAACCTAAAATAATTCATATTGTTATATTTTATAGATAAACATCTCATCAGATGATTTTGTCGCTCATATATTTTTAACGTAGAATTGAAAATAAAATGTGACGGAAAACAAATTCAAGAACACTCAAATTAAATTATAAAATAGTACACTAACTTTTTTTATTAATTTAAGATGACTACGAGTGATAGTATCTATTTTAAAGACTCTTAATTATTTAATAAAAAATATTTAAATACCCTACATTACTTGTACTTGAATCTAAATCATCTAAAGATAACCGAGTTCTTATTCTATTTCATTCCTGCTTTTTTTTATTTATTTTTCTTATTTTTTTGAATTTATCCATCTTCCATGGAGGAGGAACTGAATAAAACTAAAATTTCATGTTTGGCTTTAAATTAGAGATGCTAAAAGTAATGAATCAACCTCGATTATAACCCCTAGCCTTCTAAGTTAATGATGTGGGTTCGATTCTCACTATCCGCTCGATATTTGAATTCTATCTAGTTGAATATTTATTAATTAAATTCAACGATGCTACGCAATTCCTAAATTTTTTCACATGTTTGCTTAGTTTTTTCAAACAAGAGAAAAGAAAAAACTGAAATGTTATTTAGTTTTTTCAAATAAGAGAAAAGAAAAAAAATAGTAATGAAAAGATTCCATTGATCATACCTGTAACCATTAAAATTTTTTATTCATACTCCACTGACCTATTTTTAAAACACGGAAATGACGTAATTCTCAATGATGCCATTTTGAAAACAAGACGGCAATAGTTTAAGTTTGATGCCATTTTCTGTTAGGAAAGTGATGCCTCCTCTATAAAAGAACAGGCACTGAGAAATCTTGGATATTATACTCAAAGCCCACCATTAAAATCGGAGAAAAAGAGGGGTTGAAGATGGAGGAAGAAAGGAGATGGCGAATGTATTGGTACAAGCATATCCTTCCATTTGCAGCCATGGTGGCCGCCGAATCTGGGAACGTAGTGGTCAACATCTTGTTCAAAGCTTCCACTTCCAAGGCCATGATGAGCCACTACGTCTTCATCACTTATGCTTATGCGATTACTGCCCTCGTTCTCTTCCCTTTACCTTTCATCTTCTACAGGTTTTTTCTCGATTCGTCGATTGCGACCGTAATTTAAATCCCGAGCTTCTTTTCATCGACTGAACTGACGATTTTGTTTTCTCGATGTATGCAGTGGAAGAGTGGTTTCTACTTTGAAATTCCATATTGGCTCCAGAATTTGCCTTATTGGGCTCACTGGGTATTGCTTTCTTGTTCGCTTTTTGGTGTTTTGTTCATTGTTTTTGGTGAATTGTAATTCAAGTTTTCTGGGAATAAACAGGTTTTTAGGTCAGATATGTGCATATAAAGGTATAGAATACAGCTCCCCAACTCTTGCTTCAGCAGTCAGAAATATCTCACCAGCTTTGACCTTCATTCTTGCTGTTCTTTTCAGGTTCCCTTTTCATATTCTTTTTTGGGTTATATCATTTTGGTACCTAAATTTGACTTTATGATTCTTTTTGGTACTTAAGCTTTTTTTTGCTCAATTAAGTACTTGAATTTGGTTTCAAGATTCAATTTCAAACCTAAATTTGATATCTTGCTTAAAATTGGTTAAAAATTGTTTGTACCAACTTGAACCAAAAGCAAAGTTTAAATACCTAAAGAGATAAAAAAAATTAGGTACCAAATTTAACCCTGAAACAAAATTAAGATACTTATTTAAACTACAAAAATTTAGATATCAAATTCAACCTTAAAAATAAATATTAAGAATATATATTTTTTATTCACGTATCTTTTAATTTAATAATTTTTAAAATATAAAATGTAAGTGTTATTTTTTTATTAAATTAAAATGATTATAAAGTAATATTTATTCTAATAAATCATGCAATGAATAAGTGGGAAGGGGATTTCAAACCCAATTATTATTAAAAAGGGGATTTTTTTTTTACTGAAAGGATGGAGAAAGTAGCATTGAGAAGTATAATCAGTCAAGCTAAAATAATGGGAACCATAGTATCGGTATGCGGTGCATTAGTAGTAGCACTTTGTAAAGGCCCCGAAGTGTTTTCATCATCATCATCTGTTTTACATCAACGGTTTCTGGGATCGTCGGAATCTAATTGGAGAGATGGTGGACTCTTGCTTGTCGTTGCCTATCTTCTGTTTTCCATCTCCTGCATTCTTCAGGTAACAATATTAGTTGTACCATCTTCTGTTTAGTGGGATAAATCGTTAAATCACTTAAGATTACAAGCTCAAATTACGATCGAATAGAGTAAATTGGGTTGAGATGATTGTCCACAATGAATTTTCGGTACTCAATACAGATTAGTAGTAAAAAATTCACGAATTACTAACCTCTATTAAAAAAAAAGAGAAGAAATGAATTTTTGCATTTTACAGGCTGAGGTGGTGCAGATATACAAGCAAGAGTTGAGCATAGCCTGCTTTTATAACTTGTTTGCAGCAGTTATAGCAGTACCAGTATCCTTAATGGCAGAACCCGACATGACTTCTTGGAGGCTAAAACCTACATTAGTCATTGTTACGGTCTTATATTCGGTAAGACCTTAATGATCGAATACATTAAGAAACAAGGAAATAAAGAAAATATCTAAATATAATTTTCATGTACCTGTTTAGGGAGTGTTTTCAGCGTTGAGCTCTTTAGTGCACGTCTGGGGCATTCACTTGAAAGGACCGGTCTATGTTGTAATTTTCCAACCATTGTCGATTGCTATCGCTGCTTTTATGAGCGCCATATTTCTTGGTGATCCTCTACATCTTGGAAGGTACTGAGTTCTCAATATGGCTGGGATAACAGTTTGAAAGGATCTGTCTATGTTTTGTTTTCTAAGCTCTTAATTTTGGTTTTTTTTTAGGTAATTGATTCATCCTCTCTCTTTGCAGTGTTATAGGAGCAGTCATCTTATCCATGGGATTTTACGCTGTCATATGGGCGAAAGCTAAAGACGAAAGGATTGATGAGGACTCTGGGTTAAGTAGTGTGGGGCACTTGCCCAATGATATGGTCCCTCTATTGCAAGACCCAAAACCATACGTGTAGCACTCAAGACAGGATACATATTCAAACATGACAGTATTCAAGTACGCTCTTTCAAATGTGTAAAATATCTTTAAGAAAATAAATATATACGGAAAAAAAATTAAAACTCGACCAACAAAAGAAACGAAAAATCAACGACAACTACTCAACTAACAAGACATCTGCGATGTGATGGCTGCAACAGTTTTCTTTCCCAACATACCGGAGAAATTCCAGTGGAAGGGACTCTGGATACTATTTGCGATGTGGTCGATAGTTTTATCGCATCAAAAAGAAGCAGAAGGAGAGTCAGATTTGGATCTGTCAAGCTGGATTGTACGGCAGATGCACCGAAGGCGATAAATAATCTAAATGACAGGGATGAGTAAAATTCGATTCGAAAAATTGTTTTTTTTTATTTTATGTTATTTGAGTTATTCAAGTTAACTCGAATTATAAATTCGGTTTTCGATTTTGAATTCTTCAAAAAACCGAAAATTTGACTAAATATTTTGACAGTTTTACGATTTAGTCACTAATTTCATTATTTCTTTAATTTCTCCTCCATTTTAAGTCCAGTTTTTACTAAATTTAAACCACATGCTACTAAACTATATTAGAATACACGTGTACTTTCAATTCCTCTTTTTGATAATAATTTTTTATTTTTCAATTTAATCCTTCAATTTTTCATAATCTTCTTATTTCTTCATTTATTTTAAGTCTCTTTTTCTCTGTCAAATTTGAGCCACATGCTCCTAAATCATAGTTGAATACATGTGTACTTTCAATTCTTCTTTTTGATAACATTTTTTTTCAATTTAGTCTTTCAATTTTTCATAATTTCTTTATTCATTTAATTTGTGATTTATTTTAAGTCCATTTTTTGTCAAATTTGAACCTAATGCTCAGATACAACAATAGAATACCTAAGTAACTTCAATTGATATTTTTTAACTAAAGATGCACTCTCTTTTTTATTTAGTCCCTTCACTTTGCATTTTACTCAATTTGGTCTTTTAACTACAATTGTTTGTAAATTCTTTCTTCTCATCAATTCATTGACTCATTTATATTCTCATGAATATTTCACCCTCAAAATACTTTCTTTAAAATATAATATTATGAATATATTTCATAATTTTAGATTGTATTTGAAATATTAAATAACATTATAATATGAAAGAATATATATATATATATATATATATATATATATATAGACACCTCTGTTTTGAAAATCGGACCGAACCAGTCGGTTCAACCGAGAACCATTGTCTAGTCCGGTTCAATCTAATCCGGTTGAACCGCTACTAGTGAACTGGCCAGAACCACTGAACCGTTCGAACCGGACCGGCTGAAAACCGGAAAAATCCAGAAATTTTGTTTTTTTTAAAAAACAAATTAAACCAAACGTCGTTTGTTAAACGAGCCAAGTCGAACTCGAGTATTGCTGAGCTCGACTCGAACTTGAAAACTTTAAAAGTAAGCTCAACTCCACTCAAACTCACAAGTTAAAAATTATCAAGTTCAACTCGAACTCGAAATATAATATTGAAACTTGAACTCAAAAAGGCTTGAACTAAAAAAAAATTTAGAAGCTCAATTGAAGCCTAAAATTCGACCTTGATTGAAGTGAAAGAATAGTTCACTCAATGCTCACCAAAAGGCTCCATGATTTTGAATGCCAAATTACCTCTATTATTTATAGAAGTTAGTTGTGATGCTCTTTTATGTTTCTTAGCAATGTTAGATTGTTTTGTTCTCATATTTTCTCTTTAGACTTTTGGGATGCTCTTCTATGTTTCTTAGCCATGTGGGATTGTTTTTAAAAAAAATTAAACCAAACAATATCATTTTGTTATGATTTTTTAGCCCCAAATTTATTTTTTTAATTATAGTTATATAATTATATTTATTATTTAATATGTTTTACCTTAAATATTATGTTGTAGTTAATTTGAATCATTTTGTTTCACTTGATTTTATGGTTTTTAATTTATATATGTTATGACTTGCTTTGAATATGACTTGTGATATAAAAAATTATTTTTTTAAAAATATTTTTGGTATTTTTATTTAATTTTTTAAATAATTATGACGTCGTCCGGTTCTTCCGACCGGTCGGACCGGTTCGACCGGTTGAACCAGTGAACCGGTAGCATGGCCGGTTCGTTAACCGGTCCGGTTCTGAAAACCATGATAGACACACACACTATGATTAGATAAAGTCAAAAAATTGGAACAAATCATTGTCATAATACCATAAATAATTATAATAAAATTAGTGTAGAAACTTGAATAACTCGACTTGAAAAAATTTTGAGTTAAGCTCGAGTTGTAAAATACTACTCATCAACTCGAATAACTAAAAAAAAATTTACTCGACTCGATCGAATGCTCATCTTACTGAATGGAATAAAGTTAAATGGGAATCAGTCATCAGCATCACTGGCTAGATATAACAGCAGGGACCAGTACGAGAGGAAGAAGAAAGAACAAGGGATACCGGGAAGAGTCAACCATGAATGCCAAAAATAAAATAGGAAACGTTAGAGGGTTAATAGAAGAAAGACAATAAATGAGACATGAAACGGATATAACAGAGAACATTCAAGGCGACCAATCAAATAATGTGAAGGAAGGTAAAATGGTGGAAAATTCCATAATATGGAAGGGGTTAATAGAAGAAAGACAATAAATGAGACATGAAACGGATATAACAGAGAACATTCAAGGCGGCCAATCAAATAATGTGAAGGAAGGTAAAATGGTGGAAAATTCCATAATATGGAAGGGATAAAGTTTGGGGAGAAGAAGGAAAGGTGGAACATGTTATAACTAATAGGTTTAATGATGCACCAAAAGCTCAAGAGAATATCAAAAGAAAGAGTATCAATGGCCACATTGAGGAGAAAGACGTGTGGAAATTGAGGAGGTGTCTTGTGGGCACTATGGCTAAGGTATGTAGCTCAAGGAGTATCTCGATAAGACTGCATGAGTGGGGTCTTGGAGAGATAAAAGTTCAAAGGATGGGTGACAAATCTTACTCGCTAACAATTGTAGAAGAAGATCTGTTCTTATTCTTGGAAGACCTCCAGTTGTCATTGTAGACACCCGTTTTTATCCGAGTCTTATTTGATAATTATTATTTTCAATTATTAATTATTATTATTATTATTATTACTATCATCATCTAATTTTATTTTTAATTTATAGGTTACAAAATTGGTCCATTTTGTATGCCCAAATACAAGACCCGGAGCCCACTAGAAACCAACCCATTACAAAGACCCAAGACAATACAATCAAGCCCACCCGGTTTCAACCCAAGATTGTAGCCCAATGGCAGATCCAACTCGAGCCAAGATCTGACTCTATTCAGTTGACCTGACCTGATTCAATCAGGGTTTTAAAACCCTAACTCTTATCTCTTTCCAGCCGCCGCTCGTTCTTGGCCATTGGATTTGCGTTTGATCCGATGGCCCAGATGAGATGGAGCCCTAGGGTTTCATCATAACCCTAGGTAGTTGTTGTTGCCGTCGACGTCGATTGCTCCTGCCACCGCTGAGGGCCTCTGACGCCTACGTGTCAACCTACAATGATAATATATCAACATCAACAGTGAAAATGACAGAAAAAACAGAAAAATAATAATAAAAATATCAACTTGCTATCAACATTATCCCAAGGCAATTCGGCTCTGTCACAAGCTGAAAATAGGGTATGAATACCCTATTTTCTCAGAAGATGCACCGATCTTCATCAACCATCACATGCAAAGAGATTAAAAGGAGAGAGGGGAATAATAAAAAAGGGATCAGTTTTCAAAGACAGAGAAAAAAACGAGAGAAATAAAAAGGGGAGATTCAAACAAGAAAAAAAGAGAGAAAATAGCATAAAAAATATATATATATAAAAAGAGAGAAGAGAAGACTTATCGAAGATAACATTCGTCGGAAGCAAAAAAGGGTCACCGGATCTTTGTTTTTTCGAAAGGTAAAACCCAGATCTAAGGATTTAAGGTGAGTTTTGTGTTAAAGGGAGTTGGGTTTTAGTTTAAGGGTGAGGAGAGGAATATTTTAGGGTGTTTGGCTCTCTCTGACCTCCGTGAGCAGCCGCCGGCGGGCTGTGTCACTCTTTCTCGACGAGATGAATTCGAGAGAATTCCTCTCCTTCTCTCCCTCCTCTGGTTTAAATGAAAAAAAAACAAATGAAGGGTTTGCTGAATTTCAGCCTTGTTTTGGCCTTAAATACAAAGCGTGAAACGACGTAGTTTTACACTCCCTCACCCGTGTTTTGTAATTTCATTATGAAACCATTAATTTAAATCTACTAATATTCTACTTTGGGCATTTAGTTTCATATGTTTATTTTTAAGTCACTGACCCTATGTGTTATATTATTTTCTTTGATGTTTGAATCTGGCCATTACATTTAAGAATCTTTTATTTTGGTCACATTTCATATGGATGCATTTTGGTAGAATTTTAACTGCTTTTTTCATATTTCTTGTTTAGTTTATTTTAGTCCTTAATATTATTTATGGGTTATTTACGTTTCCAGCACCTATTGTTAATAAATGTTCGATATTAGCCTTTATTTGTTTCGTATTGTTGTTTGGTCCCTCGAATATTGGTTGTTGTTATTATGGTCCTTTGAATCATCAAGGGAATATAGTTTCGGATGTTTGCATTATGATCTTTACTATTTTTTTATTTTATCCTAGTCCTTTATGCGCATATATTGTATAAATTATGTTACGTACATTATATTAAATAAATATTATTGTTATTTGTTATATATATATATATATATATATTAAATAGCATTTATTTCCCTCATATTTCTTTATCTATTGATACATTATTCGAATATTTTCAAGAACAACAATTTATAGAATGGGCGTGGAAAGCATTGCTTGATCGAAGTAGTGCAATTCGATACGACGTTCTAACAAAATGTGAACTCTAAATAAATCAATTTTTTTTAATGATAATCAATTCGTCTTTTCAAACGATGCAATGAGTGTTGTTTTAAACAACAATTTATGTAAATGACGATTTTTAATTTTTATTTGATTCTTGTTTTT